GAAGGAAGAATCAGTCCATTCGTGATGATTTGTATTGCTCATTTAGGCAATCTTTGAGAGTTCTTTATAATTTTTAGCTATGTTAGAAGCCTCATTTTAATGAAGGAAATTAGTTTTAGATGCCACAGTGGTTCTGGTTGATGCTCCACCTACCCCATCTGTATTTCTCCAGGGTGGCTAATGTAAACCTGAGATAATGAGGGTCCTCAAATAACTTATTTTATATTATTCAGGAATTTGCTTCCCCTTGCCCCACAAGTCCTAACTCCCAGACTTGGTCAACTGGAGGGTGTTGAGGCTGGCTTCTCTAGAGTATTCAGACTGTGCTGCGAATTTAGATTGAAGTGGTACTTCACAGTTGACATCCTTGTCTCCCCCTCTCCCCTTATCCTGAGGTAGTCTGCATAATCCAGCGCATTGGTCTGTAGTTTGATCACCCACTACTCTCTTCCTTTATGGAAGCTCTACTAAGAAGACGGAGACTTGATTATTTTGAGAATATGAACCAAGACATACAAAAATGGTTGTCTTGTTCATTCTGTTCATTCCCAGTCTTATCCTGCTCAGTTTTGTAGATAGTCTTCTGAGAGGCCTAGTCTCTCTGGAAGTGTGTGTGTGTGTGTACATTTTCTATGACAAAATTTCCTGTGTATTTCTTGAATACTTTATTACTTCTCAATTACTTCTCAATGCTTGGTGCTATTGTTTCAGGAGTTTTTCTTACTAACCCTGTTTTCTATAGATAAAAATCTATTTTGAAAATCTTGCATTATTTATTTCCATATGATTATTTTTTCTCCATCCCTTCTTTTTTTCTTTGCAATATACTTTCCTCCTGAATATATAGAGACTAATAATTAGTTAGGTGTAGTCACATGCCTGGGGTGCTGTATCATGCTTTGCTGTGTGTTGGGAGTTCAATAAATCCAGTTTTTTTTCTCTATCCCCCTTTCCTGTTAAAATAGGGCACTAGGATTCTGTTATCTCAAATTTCTCAGGAAGAAAACTTCCATACTTAAGTAAGAGAGTTGCCATAAATCAATCCCAAGTGTAATTGTGTACAAGGTAAGGGTCTCTAGAGACACCTGTTCCAGTAGGAATACTGATACCTAGATTGGCATATGGGAGGGTCTTTATTAAGGGAATTGTCTTGAAAGATTATGGAACCTCATTCCCAGCCAGACCAGTATAGATAAGTAGAGAATGAGAGAGACTAGTGGCCACCTAGTGGTTCCCATTGCAAAGGCCTAGTACCTGAGAACCTGGAATGTAGAACTAGAGTAGACATGACCCAACTTCCAGAGTTTGAAGGCTTGTGAACCAAGATCAGGAAAGAAGGGTACCCACTTGATAAAGTAAGTTCACCTTTCCTTTGCTCTTTGATGTATAAGCTGGCATTCGGGCATACCTGGCTTGCCCCTTGGATACCTGGCAGAGTGTGTACCCCTGTGTGCACGCCTAGTATTCAGGCAGTAACCTTAACCTGCTGTGTGATTTCTGTGCACATGCCTTGCGCTCCTCCCTTTAAAATGTGGAGCCCTACCTGCTCCCCCTTCATTCTCTCTCTGTTTCTCCCCAGGAGGCCACGCACCCCCTTACTCTCTCCCCTCTCTCCTCTCTTTCTTCAATAAATTCTCTATGAAGGCGCTGCCTGCATGGCGTGTCTCTCTCTCACCCACCTGTGGCCGCCACCCACTGTTTTTAAAATTATAACACCGGCCCTCAACTGATTGGATAGTACTTGCCCCATTGGATGAGGGTGAATCTTCAGTCCATTGATTCAAGTGGCCAATTTGTTCAGGAAGTATTCTCTCAGACACTCTCTACTGATTTCCAGCTAACTGGATAGCAGCTCTCACAAACATTCTTATTCATGGATGAATGTCCTCTGGTAACACCTCTTTGAAAAGATAGCAGTGGCTTTAATTTTTTTTAATTTCAACTATTTATTTTGAAATTTTAATTGATTTCAGCTCAACCAGTAAGTTACCTGTTCTTAATATTTTGTTCCTATTAAACATTTGAATTTGCTGTTGTAAGTAATTTAATACAGATCATAGATGCTTCTAGGTCTCCCTACTTTTTATAACAATTATTTAACTCTGACTCTTTCTTCGAGTGTAGTTCTTTTTATGTTTAATTGTCACTTAATAATTGCACATAGTCATGATTTCCGGTGTGAATCCAACACATAGATCCAATGTGCAACCATCAAAGCAAGGAAATTAATATGCCTTTAACCTCAACCATTTATCATTTCTTTGTGTTAGAAACACTGAACTTTTTTTCGTTTTTATATGCAAATAAATCAGGAATTACAGTCACCCAATTGTGCTGTATGTTAGAATGTTAAAACTTATTATATTTTATACCCCTAACCAGCTCTCTTTCTTTCCTCTACACGTACCTGCCTCTGGCACAGTGCTTGTCTACTGTATATGTCCTCAGAGACTAACTTTTTTACCTTCCATTTATGAGTGATGACATACACTACTTGTTTTTTTATGCCTGGCTTATGAGCAGTAAAATTTTATATAGATCAAAGTGGTTTACCTATATTCATAATTAAGAATTCAGTATAATGTCATAGTATACCATGTAACTGTGATTTAATTGAGACAATTGGCCTAACCATTCAAGGAGCCATATGGAAAGATCTCCGAATATCTGCTTCATTGCTGGTGTGGTGTTTTAGTATTCATGCACTACAGTTTTGGAGCAAAACACTGTGTTGGTAGAACTTGAAAACAGCAGTACAGCTATATCCTATGGGATTCTTAATTTCTGGACTATTTAATGTTCCTTAAACCCATGTCATACTGCTTACTATGTGAGTTTACATGTTACTTTCAGTTTTTCATTTTGTGTCTAATCACTTTGATTAGAACCTGAGTAGTGTTGATTTCTTACATCACCATCATCATTGTGTGTGTCCACGATGTGTGTCTTAGTCAGTGTTGTATAAACTATGCAGAGACCTTGGGGGCATTCAATCAGTCATAGGACTGAAGAAGTAGCTGGGAGCTCTACATTCAGATGAGAAGGCAGAAGGAAGAGAGGAAGAGGGAGAGACTCCATGGGTTTTTGAAACCTCAAGGCCCACTTCCACTAACTTTCTCCAACAAGGCCACACTTCCTAATCTTTTGAAATAGTACCACACCCTGGTGACCAATTTGTCAGGCCATGGAGGCCATTCTTACTCAAACCACACAGTGTGGAGTGCCATTGCATTCTTGTGGGAGATCAGAGGACAATTCTATGGACTCTTTTACACAGGGATCAAATACAGGTCTCCAGTCTGCAGAACAAGCTCCTTACAAAGTTAGCCATCTAAAAGATGGCTTCTCTTTACATCAACCTTTCTTTCCTAGGGTTAACGTAGGAATGTTTCTTATAACTTGTCTTTTTGAGTGATATCATCCTCCCTATCCCTTGCCACAATCAAGTGTCCCCTGGAATTCCATAAATCTAAAAAAACTCCCATATATACATACATACATACATACACACACATACACACACAGTGATGCACGTGTATAAATGAATGCATGTGCGGAGGGTAGTGAACAACTTGCGGTAATCAATTCTCACCATCATGTGAGTCACTGAGCTTGAACTCAGGTTGTCAGGCGTGGTAGGAAGACTCTGAGCTATCTTGCTGATGCCTCAAAATTATAGGTGAGGGTAAAGCCTATTGAGAAACATCTGCTTAGAGGGGTAAATGGGGCAAATAAACTGTTGCTTAATTAGGCTCTTTTCTTAAGGCCAAGGTGGGGGCATTATTTCCTTTTGTCAGCCTCTTCAACTGGAAATTCCAAGATCTCAAAATTTCTTAGCTTTCTCCTGCCTCCTCTTTCCTTCTTTCTACTGGGTCTTTTTTGTATAGTCTAAGCTGACCTTGAACTCATGATCTTCCTGCCTCAACATCCCTAGTGCTCAACATACCTATCCATTGTAAATATTTCGATCAAGATGAAATAAAAGGAATTGCTATAAAGTGCTAGAATTGTTTGGTGTCAGATAAATGAATTATTTTCACTGTTTGAAGAATGAGTGTATCATTCTTGGGAGAAATTAAGCTCTCTGTGTTGCATAGGTTATTTGAAGTTTCAATTTTTATGTATTCATTTGTAGATCTAGAATTTATACATACAGTTGTTTTACGAATCATATCATGTGTGGTCCGGGACTGTGGTCCTGAGGAAATTATTGATGCTGTTCTTCCTCACCAGCCCTTTTGTCTCCCAGCCTCTACCACAGCAACCTCTTAAGCAATTATTTATGGAATTCATATGCTTTTGTGGCTACTTGGATTATTAGTCATAATTAGTCTTACAGCAAAGTATAGGATGCTTAGATCCTTTGAGAAATGTTAGGCTTTTATCTTGTTCCAATTCACGAATTCTTGTATTCATTCAGAAATTCAACTTTTATGTTACTTAGTTCATTCAGTAAATTAACTGCTTAATATTTTTGATAGGGGTAGACAGAAAGGATTAAAACCATAGCATATTATGCCATTTTCTTGCATTAGTATTAGGTATCTGGTATTATGCATGTTCTTGTAGCTATCCTTGAAGGTGGTGGTTTATTTACTTTTTATTTTTATAGTATGCAGATTATCTCTTTAAAACAGTACAAGATAGCTTCAGGTGCAGCTGTTGTAAAATAAATAAATATATTGAAATTTTGAATCCTAATGACCTTATGAAAGGCAGAAATCTGCAACTGTCTAATTATCTATAGTGATGTGAATATAATTTTAATAGCCTGCTGTGAATTTAAAGCCTTTCTGGTAAGTGTTTTACCTGTTAAATGATCTAGAATGCTTTCTGTGTACCCAGCTCTCCTTCCTTCAGGCAGAACCATGTGTAAATCATTCCAAAACAATTAATGCTGCTTTAGTCACAAATTATTGATTTTTCTGTTTCATAGAGTGTATGTCGAACTGCTGCTCTACTTAGATTCTAAAATCGGGCTTTTTAATTGTGTTTTCCAGGAAGATATGAATTTAAATGAAGATAAAAAGGCACCATTGCGGGAAAAGGACTTAAGTATCAAAAAAGAAATGGTGATGCAGTACATTAATACTGGTTCTAAGACAGTAAGTAAAGCTGTCAGGTTGAAAAATAATGCTGCAACATGCAGTGTGGAAAACAATGCATTTGTCTAATGAAGTGCTTAAGCTTCTGCAAAACTGCAATCAGAAGGCTTTTGAATGCATAATTAGAACCGAGTATTGTAATAAATTAGCTTAAGATATGTCCCATATTATTAACTTTTTGTGTGAAGAGTTGGGCTTTGGGTTTTGGACAGTCTCACTGCTAAGTAACAGAGTGATGTGTTCTGAAACCTTACCTTGTTAGTGAATTAAGATAGTCATTGATTCCCAGGGTTACATATAAGTGGGATTGTATTTGTACCCTCTCCCTGTCTAAGTTAGAACTCATAGTCATCATTTCCCTGGTGTGCAGTTTTCTATGGGTAAGATCATCTTATAACACATTACAAATGGAAGTATTGAAAAGAACATCGTATCTCCCCATAGTGACCAATTTTTCAGGGAAACATGAAAAGGAACCAGAAAACTGATTCTGTCTGAGAAACTGTGATTCTCATCGAAAAACAAATGAGTTTGATAGAATTTGTGAAAAGTGGAGATTGGATAAAAAATATAAAATGGAAGCGTTCTAATTTTCTTTGTTTTTGCTGTAATCAAACACTGACCATAACAATATGGGGCAGAAAGGGTTTATTTCACCTTACAAGTTCTAATGCAGGAACCTCGGGGATGAGCTGCTTGCTGGCTTGCTCTCCATGGCTTGCTCAGCCTGCTTTCTTTTTTAGTCCAGACCACAAGGCCAAGTATGATATTGCCCACAATGGTCTGGGTCTTCCACCATCTATTAACAACAAAGAAAATACCATACAGACAAGCCCACACCTCAACCTGATTGAGATCCTTCCTCAAGTAAAGTTTCCTACTTCCAAAGTGTGTTAGGCTGACAACTGACGTTAACTGTGGCAGGAGGTCAGCCCGAGGATGGAAAGGCAGGAGTAGAGAGTGATTTTGGCTGAATTTATAATGGGATTAGCATGCTGGTTTTTACTGGATACTTTAACCTAAGGCCAGACTATAAGAACATAAGTTATTTATACCTCATCTCTGTATATCTGGTAGGCAGCCTGTATCTCAGAGCTATTTCTTTGGGAAGAAAGATCAAGTGATATTTAATTTTTAAACATATCTCATGTTTTGGCAGCCTCATCCTCAGTTGTAGAAATCACGATGAGTAGTATGACTTTTCTAGCCTGATAGAGATAGGCTCTGTGTTCAGATGCTATGATACTGCGATTAGTGGCTTTTTCCCTTACAGATATGTGGTTGGCATTCAAGAGGTTTGTTTGTTTGTTTTTCCTTTTTGGCATGGGCATCTTAATTTACTTCTTTTATTTTCATTTTTTTCTAGCTATAAAATAGCAATTTGTATGTCATACAGGCATTCTGTCATCATGATGTTGTTGTTCTCTTTTTAAAACATTTGACACTGGTGACTACCTCTGTGGTATTAGCAGTTGTTTAGGTTTTTTTGTTATTAGCTTTTTTCTTGCAGTTGAAATCTTTATAGCACATTCTACTGTTGTATCAAATTTATCATGATAAAAATACAAAAAGTATCACGTAACACATATTTACTATAGGTGTTTCCACAATTTAAAAAGACATTTATTCAGTATGTGTTTACTGGGTGTTAGTGTTTCTTAACCAAGATTCTGAACAACAGAGATGAGTACCGGAGTATACTCGTCATTGCTAATGGAGCCATTTGGTCCACAGATAACTTAAATACAACACGTATGTAAAACATGTGAAATATAGTGCATAAAATCCAAAACAGGCTAGGTGAATTGTGTCGTGTAGTAGCTAGGGAAGATGACTGTCAGGAAAGTTTAAATCTAGCACACTTTTAATCCCAACACTTGGGAAGTAAAGGCGGCAGATCTTTGTGAGTTAGAGGCCAGCCTTATCTACAGAGTGATTTCCAGGACAGCCAAGGCTACACAGAGAAAACCTGTCTTGAAAGACCAGAAAAACAAAATCTAACAAGCCTAAATTGATTAGATATAGTCACATAGGATAAGTTGCACAAGTTACAGTGGGCTTAGAAAACCCTGTGTATTTGTGCATTTTAATTCTGGAGCTGGAGAAAATGAAGACTTGCAAAAGATCAAGTCCACTTGAACTTTGTAAAGGTAGGTCTATTTGAGTTTTCACTCACTGATTTACAACTTTAGTCCTCTAATTGTTTTGAACCGAGGGGAATTCAGAAGAATGAGGTAATGAAATGAGCAGGACTGAAATAGATTAGTTTCCAGAGTGTGAGTATAGCATTAAGTCACCTCATCAGTGTGTAGAATAGAATGGCCTTTCCTGGGAGTGGCCTGAGTAATTTGGCAGGTGATTCACATTATGGAAAGTTCAAGCTGACCAGCCACTTACTTCTGCTCTACAAGTAGAAGCACATTTTATTCGCTCTAGTGTTTAGATTTGTCTTTTGCCATTTTATTTATATAATTGACTGCTGAGAAGTTACTGGGCAAGGCAGATCAAATAGGACTATTATTTTATAGATTGTGAGCTATAGCCATCTGTACAGCATCACCACAGGTCTCTTTACAGAGATCAAGAAATTTGTGTCATATATGTTTATCAAGATTTTTGTGTTATAATTTTGCTTTGAATTTTTTTGTGAGTAAACAAGCATTTTTTTAAACATTATTCTCATATCTGCAATTGATTTAAAAATTCTGTGAGAGGCCAGCCAGCGTGATGACTCAGTGGATAAAAGCATTTGCTGCCAGGTTTGATGACCTGAGTTCCAGCTGTCCTTTGATATTCACTCATGGACCATAACTCCCCCCTCCACACAAATAATAATAAAATGTTTTAAAAGAGTCAAAACCTGCTTTCCAATAGTAACCCTAAAAGTTCTAACAAGGTTACTTTTTAGAGTAGGAGAAGAAATCTACCATTAAACTTAACTCAATCACAACTCTTTTTAACTTTCTCCAGGCTGCTAAATAGTCATGCTGAATTTTTGTAATCAAGAATTATTAAAATTTTGCTAATCAGGGCTATGTTAAAAACCGACAATGGCAGATTGTCTTTTTCTTCCTTGCCAAGGATGTGGACACACGGTTCAGGTTGTTCACTATAGTCTGGTAGACACGTTGATTGGAGGTTGCTGGGAAATCTTTGTATCCTTGATTTAATGATCCTACGTGGGAGATTATCATTTTATGGGAGTGGCTATGGTTGCAGCAGGTTTCAGGATGAACTGAGGACAGATCTGTGGTGGGCCCAGTATACATAGTGTTTATGCAATAATGTTCATTCCCACATAAGTTACTTTGGGTTTTCTATGCTTCTCTAAATGACACAATGGACCAGCCATATTTACTCAATGATATAGGTTACCTCTAATTCAATTCTATTCTAGAAATTACCGTTTCTTTCACAAGGTAAATCCCCTTAGCCAGTGGATGTTCCTAGAGCATAATTGACACTGGCACTTGCAGGCCCTGTGTGCAGTTCTTGGTACTGCTGTTAAGCATGGTCATAGAGAACAGTCTTTAGAAAATCCAGGCATGGCTTCTGCTTGGTTACATAGTTCAGGGTGAGACATTAAAAGGAGATGTGATCATACAGGCAAATTAGGGAAGGAGTCATAGTTTCCAATTGTGGAGTGTCTGAAAACTGAAAGCTTGGGAGAAAACACAGGAATATCGCTTTAAGTTTAAGGATTTTCTTCTAGAAAATTAGTAATTAAAGCACAATGTGCCATATAAATGATAAATGTATGTAATAGTGTTTAAGCTCAAATACTGCTCTTCAAAATGTTTAAAGAATATTTCAGACATTGTCAGATGATGGTTCTGCCACCAAGATTCCTGGGCCTCAATTGGATCACTGAGGCTTGGAGACAGATCCTAACTGAGCTGCTGTTTGCACTTGGCCTTTTTTTTTTGTCTTTTCCCTTTGGATTGTGTATATTATGCTAGGTCTGTGAGTCCAGTGTTTATGTTACTACTTATTTTCTTCAGTTTATAGTCAGGTTACATGTTCTCCATGGTTTGATAAAAAAAAGTCTTTGACAAAGGCTATGGAGACTGTAGATGAAATTATAAACAGTTAAAGAATGTGTTAAAAGAATTTTGGTTTAGAATAGGGTTTAGCCCAATAAGATTCCTTTTCCCCTATTGCAAAAGATTGTTAAAAGTACGACATACACTATGTCTCTTTAATCTTTCAAGAGAGAAGAATCTTCCAATCTTGTTCCATCCATAATGATTGCTGTAGTAATTAATGGCCATAGAATAGTGAAGCCATAGACTGTGGTTTTCAGCCTTCCTAGTGCTGCAACTTTTCAATACAGTTCCTCATGTTGTGGTGCCACCCCCCCACCCCCCGAAATTATTTTATCGCTACTTCACAATTTCATACTACAAAGTTACTGTTATTACCTGTTTTTTTTTTCTTTTTTTTTCTTTTTTTTTTTGTGCAGAGGAGTGGTGTGTTTCTGAGTCTCCTAGAAGTTTGCTAGCTTCTCTGAATTTGGGTTATCTTTCCTAGTCTGCCTGGCTTCTGTGTGACTAGAGGGGTTCCATTTTGTTTACTAGAAAAAGTTCGGGTTGCTTAACTTTCTTCCCAGATTTGTGCTGCATTTGGTTATTATAAGAGCAATGCAAGCTTATAATTAAAGCAGAAGAAGCACAACAATGCCTGTCAAGACCCAACCTAGACCTAGAATCAATCACTGATTATATCTTACTAAATATTCTTCCACATGCTTTATGTTTTTCTTCTTAAAAATCTTTAAGATCAGAATCTTATGGGGGAATGATATATTTTTATTGAAGCTAAAATACATTAAAAATCATGTGCACCATCAAGTTTCAAACAAAATTATTTTTGTTAATACCCATTTATCATTTCTTGGGCCCAGCCTTCTCCCCACTTTCATCTAATTTTATTCTGATTTAAATGTTTCCTTTCTTTCCTCTGAGTGTTAAATGACCTGTTTATTCTTCTAATCCTTCCAT